CATCAAAGTAATGGGCCTCACAAAAACAGACACACAGATAAATGGAACAGGATAGAAAGTCCAGAAATTAACTCACACACTTATGGTCAATCTATGAAAAAGGAAGCAAGATTACACAATGGAGAAAAGACAGTCTCTTCAATAAGTGGTGTTGAGAAAACTGGACAGCTACCTGTAAAGACTGAAATTAGAAAATTCTCTAACATCATACACAAAACTAAACTCAAAATGGATTAAAGACCTAAATATAAGATCAGATATTATAAAAGTCCTAGAGGAAAACAGGCAGAACACTCTTGGACATAGATTGCAGCAATATTTTTTTTGAAACAGCTCCTGGAGTAATGGAAATAAAAGCAAAAATAAACAAGTGGTACCTAATTAAACTTAAAAGGTTTTGTACAGATAAGGATACTATCAACAAAATGAAAAGATAACCTACAAAATGGGAGAAAATACTTGCAAATGACGTGACCAACAATGGACTAATTTCCAAAATACACAAACAGCTCATACAGCTTGATGTCAAAAAAACAAACAACCCAATCAAAAAATGCGCAGAAGACCTAAATAGACATCTCTTCAAAGAAGACACCCAGATGACCAATAGGCAAGTGAAAAGATGTTCAACATCACTAATTGTTAGAGAAATGCAAATCAAACCTATAATGAGGTATTACCTCATACCAGTCAGAATGGCCATCATTAAAAAGTCTACAAAAAATAATAATAGAATTAAAAAATTAAAGTCTACAAATGATAAATGCTGGAGAGGATGTAGAGAAAAAGGAACCCTCCTATACTATTGGTGGGAATGTAAAACGATGCAGCCACTATGGAAGACAGTATGAAGGTTCCTTAAAAAGCTAAAAATAGACTTACCATATGGTCCAGCAATCCCACTCCTGGGCATATATCTGGAGAAAACTCTAATTCAAAAAGATACATACACCCCAATATTCATAGCACTATTTACAGTAGCCAAGACATGGAAACAACCTAAATGCCCACTGACAGATGACTGGATAAAGAAGATGTGGTATATACATGCAATGGAATATTATTCAGCCATAGAATAAAATAATGCCATTTGCAGCAACATGGATGGACCTAGAGATTATTATATTGAGTGAAGTAAGTCAGAGCAAGACAAATATCATATGATGTCACTTATATGTGGACTCTAAAAATAAAGATACAATGTTTATTTACAAACCAAAAACAGACTCATGGACATGGATAACAAACTATGGTTACCAAAGGGGAAAGGGCGGGGAGGAATAAATTAGGGACTTGGGATTAGCAGACACACATTACTATATATAAAATAGATAAACAATGACTTACTGTATAGCCCAAGGAACTATATTCAGTTTCTTGTAATAACATAATGGAAACGACTCTGAAAAGAAAAAATATATATGTATATGAATAACTGAATCACTTTGCTGTACACCTGAAACTAATGTTGTAAATCAACTACACTTCAATAAAAAATTAAAAAAAAAAAAGGAATGAGCCTCAAAGGGCAAATATGAAAGAAAGAGTGAGTGAATAAATGAATGGAGACTCTTTCAGAGGAGGCTCTGTCTCCTGAGAGCGGCTGGCCCACTGGCTTCCCTGCTCGGTGCCCTCAGATGTAGTCAGACACAGACTGGTGTTCTTTCAGTACTTGAAGCATCAGTCAACTCCTCTGGGTTTACTTTTCTTCTCCCTGGACAATCCTTCGCCTCCCCTATACTTTTAGCTGCCTAACAGGAGGGAGTATGCGCAGGATGCTTTCAGGAACAGTCCATCTAAGTGCAGGCCATACTCTCCCTGTGAATTCTCTAACACACACACACACACACACACACACACACACACACACACACACACACACGAGCCTCAGATGTCTGGCC